TATATATATATATATATATATATATATTAAAAATTCCAAAAAATAAATGGTGACTTTTAGAAACCCTGGAAAATGATCTAGGAAACCTTCAAATTTGTAATCAAAATATTACCCACTATGAATCATTCATTCTTTATCAAGAAAAAATAAAAAAATTTGAATAAAAAAATTTATTTATCAACAAAACTTATGGTGGTCAGCCTGGTTTTTAGTGAATAACATCTTTTAATAGTCGAATTCAGATTCAATCTAGTGACTCGATAATAAAATAATTGGAGAATTCACGTGTATATATTGGCTTATTAGAATTAATGGTAACTGAAATTGAGTTGAGTGAATTTATCATTGAGTTACTAGACTAATTCTGAATTCAACTATGACTATCGTGCATAACATCTCTTTCATTTTTTTAGCTGAACTTTTGAACCTCACAATATTTGAACTTCATAAATTTCAAGAAGTTTAGTTGTCGCCGTTGAATTCATCACAACCTCCAATTGGTGGGTTTCTGTTGATTCCACTGAATCAACAAGATCCTACAAATTACACAATAATACGAAAAAAAAATAAAAAAGTAGATGATTCCAATGAATTATAAATGATAATTTGTCTTTATGGAGCAATAATTCAAATGTAAAGCAGATTCACTCAAAAGCTGATATTGGTCGCGGAATGGCACATGTTCCTTCATGTGCTGGCCCTCTCCTTTTATTACATTTCCCCAATTGCCTCCTATCATATGAACAAACGACTTACACAGTGACATTTCCCTCCCCACTAAAGCTGTGACGCTCATGTGTGTGAGCTCTTTCTCTTCACATTCGAAATCATCCATCCAAAGTCGATATAAGTATATTGCACATTCAATTCCCAACTGAGATATAACCTGATGAAGTTGAGACCTGTTACTTCTAGGAAGGTTGATGATGGGGGCCTTTTTTGTTCCACTACTTTCATGTTCAAATCTGAGTGATGGGTCGGTTCGAATTTGTTGATTTGGTGGTCAGAGACTCCATTATTTCCATCTTCAGTGCTTCCTTGATCCAATCTGAATGATGGGTCGTTTTGAATTCTTGGTTTGTCGGTGAGAGACTCCATCATTTCCCTCTTCAATACTTGTTTGATCCAATCTGAGTGATGGGTCATTTTGATTTCTTGATTTGGTGGTGAATACTGGAAGGAATCGGCAAAAGATGCGGCGGCGGGCGGCCGATTACCGGCGCCCGGTTCGAAGGAGGTCTTTATGTTGGATCTGGGCTGTCCTTGGGATATTCTCTATTGCAGGGTTTGTTTTGTTTTTCGTTCATCATCACCATCAGCATGAAGATCGGGTTGAACAGTCATTAATGGTAAGACGATAGCAAACCCAGATAATGCTTTTAGATTTGTTGCCTCTGTTGTTGTTTGGATTTTTCGTTGAATAGGCTTCCAATTTGATAAAGTTCAAATCTTTTTGCATCGAAATCACTAGTCTAGGGACTCATCTTGCTGGAATTTGAATTTATAACAAAAATTTTCTTTTTCCTTGTACTTATGTGATTTGTGAAGGAGTAGAGAGTTTGATTTTGGAACTCATATGTTGGCATGTAAGCCCCAATATGAATAGAAAAGTAAAATGTTTTAATTGTGTTTCGCCCTGGAGTGATGTTTGTGTAGTGATCCTTACGTTTGATATTTTCTACTGGAATTTCTAAGCTGTAGCTAGACAGAGGCTTGCTCAAGGATTCAAATTCATTTCTTAGAAGTTTGTTTTAGACAGACTGTAACAAGAATCAAGTAGAAGTTTGGTTTGGGTATAGACGCGCCATTGATTATTAGTTGTTTGTCTCGCTTTCTAGAATGCTTAGGTTTGCTGGATGAACTTCCTTTCCTTGTGGATTAATTTATAAATTTATGCCAGAGGCATTGATGTATTCTTGATGAGGAGGCCTCAACTAGTGTTTGGATGTCTTTCAATAATGTTCAAGATACTTAGTGCCAACTTTTTGCCATTGGATCATGACACTACATAAGATGTCATATGGATTGGGCGTAACTGTATACAAAATTGTATTATTCTCTGTTTTTATGGTTTCAAATGGAAAACAGTGAGTTTATGTGACTGGAGACATCATGGTACCGAGAGCTGACAAGACAACCGAAAAAAAAAAAAACAAAATCAAGCCTCAACTATGAGCTTGCCATTTGTATGATGTACTGCTATACAAGCAAGGTGCTTAAGTGTATAAATGGTAGCTCTACCGATCTAGTGTAGTGGAGTCCCATTGTCAACTTCTTAGTGCAGTTTGAGAATAGGTGTTTTTTTTATTGGTCTCCTCATAAGATAATATTAGCCATCAAAGGGAGCTTTCTAGATTTTAGCTGGGAAGAAATCTGTTACTCTGACTTGCCCTTAATACCTATTGCAAATAATTTTTATTCTATTATGTGAAACGGTTTTATTTTGGTCTTTCAAGAAGTTTGGATCTGTTGCCAATCCATTCTCCATTTGCAAACAATTGGTGATATGTTAAGAAGGGAAAAGGAAAATTGCACAAGTGGTGGGACATAGAGAAAAGGTAGATAGCTGCGCGGAACACACATAATATGTGGCCATCTGTAGGAGATATGGAAGCACAATGTGTGGCTTATATGAGATCCATTTACCAGCTTCATTTTAGAATTCTATACACGTCTATCTTGCTTGGGGTGCTTGATTTGCAAAGTCCATATTTTGCTGCTAATGAGGTGTTTTCCCTTGCTACAAAATTTGCAGCAAGTTTGCTAAATTGAAAATATATTTGTGTGGGATTATGACTAACAAATGGAATGTATGGCAATTTGTAAGCCTTTTATGATATATATATATATACACCTACATGCCACATTTCTGACCTGCTCTATTGCCTGTTTAGATTAGCATACAGTTTTAATCTACTAAGCAAATAAAAATGCATATACACTTTGGCATGCCACTAAACTTTTGGTTTCGCAAAAAGTTCGAAAATTTGTTAGCTTTCTCTAATCTCTCTCTTTCACTCACAACAATGCATGCCGGCAGCATTTGAAATATCTTCTAGTTTTTAGAAAAAAACAGAGTCAATTCTTTGTTTGAAAATCAAATGTTTCCATATAGGTTCCATAATAATGTACAGACTGCCAAATTTTCAGTTCATTGCTGTCCAAGGAGGGGAATTACTCTTGAACCAATATGTTCTTTTGCATCCATAATGAATAGAATAAACTGTGCAAGAGAATGATCAACCAATGTACACTGTATATATTCCAGGAAAATCCCAATACAAACAAGATCTCCTAAACATGACACCAAAAACAGGGATACACTCAATTTTAAAACCATAGCATAACTGAATTTCCACTCCTTCCAAATGCAGCACCAGGTGCACAAAGGCACCAGTAGTCACACACTTCTAATTTTATTGCGGAACTTGTCTGCCTTCCAGCTTGTCAAATCCTTGCCATCGAAGTGGGCATATGACTTGCAGAATCCATTACCTGTTCCTTTATTGCACGTATCTTCACAACCATTTTCCTAGCAGTGCTAGATTGAGGAGTCAAAGATTTCTATGTTTTATTTTGTCCTTCATGGGTGAAAAACTGGTTCTGAATGAAACAAAATGGTACTTACCCAAAACTCCCCATAAAAAGTACCTCTGATGCTTTTCTTCCCTTTTTCAGCTGAAGCTGTAGTAGAAAGTTGGGCATGCAGTATGCTAAAAGGTAGATGGAATGTTTTTAATGAGAGCAACTACCAGCTGTCAATGAATATTACCACTTCCATTAACACGCAATCAAATACTACAGTAACCTATCTTTCCATGCTGATACCAGTGAAAGGACTAGGTATGTCATGGAAAGAAATCCAGCCTTACATCCTGAAACTCTCAACAGGTTTTTTCTCTTCATAATCCACTTTCAGATTGGATACCACTTGAAAACAAAGTAGAGGACGACTCAACTGCCTCAATTACACTCCCTTGGTCCACATAAAGCAGTGGTTTCCTTTTGCAATTGTAGATGGGGAACTAGAATGGATTCTACCCCAGCTTTACAACCTCAGTTTCTTCTGTAATATCTTGATAGAAGCCTCCATCACCTGAATGAATTAAGGAGGGGACAAGTTCCTTCATGGTCTAAGTCCCCTCTTGAGTCCATTATTTATTCATTATAGTCCTGATGGAAGGAAATTAAAATTAAGTATTCATAATTTACTCCCTGGTTAAACTAGTAATCCAGTGTTTGAAATTCGTTTATTTGTTTTCTCATATTAATTTAATGCTCACATATAGGAAAATCATTTTGTGATGTCCTTCAAAGGGAGGGATTGATTCAAGAGGGTCTGTTACTAAGTGCAATGTTAAAGCTTATGTTATGTAGAGCTGGGTGCATGAGTTTGGTCTGGCTACACGGGTAGGTGTTGAACTCCTTCAACCCCATACTGAAGTATATGGGGCAGGATCAAATATTCAAATGCTCTTGTGTTGTTCATTTCTCTCTTGGGGCAAAATGTTGTTTTTTAACATGGTGCATTCAGTGGGGACACTGAACTCATTTCAAAAAAGCCATAGGACAGTATTGCAAGAGAATGCTTCGTAAAAAAAGAGTGAACTTGAATCCCTAGACATGCTTGTTAGCTGCATATCCACTGCGACATGTTGGATGTATATCCCGTACCCTTGTCTAGTTGTCAATTATTAAATTAAGTACCTTGCACATTTACAATTGTCACCATGTAATATAGGTAAAATTTCAAGCTGTTAAGGGTGAGAATGTAAGTTTGAGCAAGGAGCAATCACTTGCTGCAAAAATCCATTACTTCATTGCAACATAATCTTCTAATAAATGAGATTTTTAACTTGTAGAGATTGTGTCGGTTAAAATACAATAAAAATTATCAAGATTGGGGAAAAGAGTTCCAGTAACATTGAACAATGAATCTTGTCTACAGGCATGCATACTTCAGTATTTGGCATTATGAGAACTAACGATTCAACCATGAATTTTTACTGATGCATCATTGCTCAATTTAGGATGTTTGTGGTATTCTAACCCCCTCATATAAAGTAGATAAGAGGGTTGATAGCTTTTGTTTTCATTGCGTAAGAGGATACACAGCACCAAATTACAAAAAAGGACAATGAATCTCGATAGTTTGAGATACATAGGTCATCTTGGGGCGTTGTGTACTTAAAAAACATCTTTCAAATAGAATTTCTGCATGCCCTTTACTATGACACTAGATGTTCGTTGCTTCATATGAATAATTTCCTTTTGACCTAATAAGTTTTGATGATATGCTACTGTTTTTTTCAGTTAATTTTTTGAGAACGTATCTGGTGCGTGTTTTTGTCCCTTTTCCCAGGAGAGAGATGCCAGACATGAACAGGTCAGGCATGAGCATTTCAATTTAACTGAAGACATATTAAGTGCTAGTTCATATGCTAGGCAATTAGCGGAACAAATGACACTTGCCAAAGCCTATGTTATTATTGCAAAAGAGCATAATAACCTCCATCTTGCTTGGGAGCTCAGTTCAAAGATAAGAACTTGCCAATTTTTACTTTCAAAAGCTGCCATGAGGGAGGAGCCCATCACACTAGATGAAGCAGAGCCAGTCATAAAAAGCTTATCATTTCTGATTTTCAAGGCACAAGATGCCCATTATGATATAGCAACCACAATCATGACAATGAAATCCCACATTCAAGCCCTTGAACAGCGTGCGAGTACAGCAACTGTCCAAAGTACTGTATTTGGACAATTGGCTGCAGAAGCACTACCCAAGAATCTACACTGCATAACCATTAAACTAATGGTTTATTGGCTAAAGAAGAAGTCAATACAAGAGCTTGCAGATGAGCAGAGGACCTCACCCCGATTAGTAGATAACAATCTCTACCACTTTTGCATATTTTCAGATAATCTGCTGGCTGTTTCCGTTGTTGTCAATTCGACTATCTCAAATGCTGAGCATCCAAAGCAGCTTGTTTTCCACATTGTTACAAATGGTGTGAACTATGGGGCAATGCAGGCTTGGTTTCTTAGTAATGACTTCAAAGGGTCTATGATAGAAGTGCAGAACATTGAGAACTTTGGTTGGTTAAATGCTTCTTACTGTCCTGTTGTTAGACAGCTAGTAGAAGCAAATTCATGGGCCCACTGCTTTGAAGGTTCACAGGATGTGAATATTGATCCAAAGTTTCGGAATCCAAAGTATTTGTCTTTGTTGAATCACCTTCGCTTTTACATCCCAGAGATCTATCCTCAATTGGAAAAGGTGGTTTTTCTCGAGGACGATGTTGTTGTCCAGAAGGATCTGATCCATCTGTTTTCAGTGGATTTGCATGGAAATGTAAATGGAGCAGTGGAAACCTGCCTTGAAGCATTTCATCGTTATTACAAGTATCTTAATTTCTCAAATCCAATCATTAGCTCCAAGTTTGATCCTCAGACTTGTGGGTGGGCATTTGGTATGAATGTTTTTGATTTGATTGCATGGAGAAAAGCAAATGTGACTGCAAAGTATCATTACTGGCAGGAGCAGAATACTGATCGGACACTCTGGAAGCTGGGCACCCTTCCTCTGGGCTTATTAGCTTTTTATGGATTGACAGAGCCACTCGATAGGAGATGGCATGTCTTGGGATTGGGTTACAACCTGAATATTGACAACCGCCTGATAGAGAGCGCAGCTGTAATTCACTTCAATGGGAACATGAAACCATGGCTGAAGTTGGGAATTGGCAGGTATAGGCCTCTATGGGAACGGTATGTGAATCAGACTCACCCATATCTCCAAGGTTGTGTAACAAGTTGATTTGTGCAACTTCTCATTGCATCCTAATTTATTTGCACCCTTGCAGAGTCGAAAGTAGAAAATTTTGGCCTTGTTACAAGTTTTGCTTGTTATACTTTTCCTCTTTTGGTTTTCGAGTTTTTTATAGGGAAAATTGATTCTTATACACCAGAAAGTAAACATCTATCAGGTAAAGAGGCACGGGAGATTCATTTTTGATGGAGCTTTCCTTTGCCATGTGCAGACTGTGGAATGATTGTTCTTGGCAATTCTTGTAATAAATTCGCTGCTCCTTTGAATACAATGTAGTCGAACCTGAATATTTGTTTCGTTTTCTCTTTCTTATTGCTTAGAACTCCAACCGGACAATCTGGTAGTCATAGTAATATAATTTTTGTAGATTATTTATTTTTTTCCCTTTTTTTGGGCCCTATTCTTGCCAATATCTTCAGTAGAACAAATTCTCTGAATGTTCATTGGTTTCAACAAATTTTGGTGACACATTTCGTAGTTGCTAGCTTCAAACCTCTGGCACTACCGTCCTTGTACCCCAAGGGGTTACTATGACATGGCACTTGACAATTTTAGACACCATCTGTGAACCCGACACAAAATTAACATAAGACTTGCATAGGGTTAGGTTAAGCCTTAGCGGGATCGGATGATAAACGAGATTGTTAAACTCGGAAAAGTTATTTGTTGAAACGTCCATTGTGGTTCAAGATCATAATATTGGTCACTAACTTAAAAGACTAAATCGCACCGGTCTTAGAGTTGCAGGACAGTATTGGGCAATATATACAAAAATAGTTGAACATGATGAGAGTTTTGACCATACGAGAGAGTCATGGGACAATAGACGATTTGGTGACAACAAAATGTGGAATGACACCGGAATGGAAAATGTCACATGGTATGATTCCATCGAGCTTTATCGGTTCTCTTAGGGGGTGTACGGGTGTAACTTAGGTAGGACAATCTGAATTCAACTCGAAAGATTTTTAATACTTGGATTGAGTCTGGATTGAAAAATATCAATCTAGATTGAATTTGGGTAATACACAGGTTGAAGAATCAGGTTATTGGGTTCAACCAAAATATTAAATCGGGTGCAACCTGAATAATGAGTCAGGTATGCTCTTTTATGTTATTTTTGCTATTATAGCTATTATGTTAATTTGACTGTTATATCTTTATGTTATGAAAGTGTAAATTAATTTTTGTCAAGTATGCTTTTGTATGCTATAAATACTATGGTATTTATGTTAAACATTTGATTGAAGTTATTGGTTGTTACTTAAGATAAATATTATGTAGTATATATCAGATTTAAAACAATAAGTTGATTTCGTATCTGAATAAATCCCCTTATATCAATTTTTGATTTATTTTATATCTAAAATTAAACTAAAATTGACGTCTCAGCCCATCCTATCCAAGTTGAACCCCCTAAGGCTAAGGGGTGTTTGTTTCACCGGACAGTGGGGAATTACTGTATCAAAATGGCTAAAAATATCCTGGGTCCCATTTATGTCTTATCTGGTGGAAATTTTTTTATGGGATAAAAGTTTTGATTGAATTCATCCCTCGGCCGTAGTGAATAGTACATGTTTTCCCTTCTGAACCGGATTCTCGTAACCCATGTGCTATATGGGATAAGTCGGTGGGATCTTTTGTGCTGACAGAAATAATTTTTGAAATTACCATAGGGCCCAAAATAATAATTTCATAGGCTTGGATTGTTTTTTGGTGAAGAACATTATGGTAAATTAAAGAAAAAATGATGTGATTTGATCGGGTTGGTGCATGCCTGAATGGGGCCCACACTTGACAGGAGTAGTATACAAATGTAAGATTGGATAGAGAAGAAAATATTTTTGGGAGATGGGATCGGTACATAATATTAAAAGTATTAGTGAAAAAAAATACACTTTTTAAAAATATTTATAAAAAAATTCATCCACTATAGCTAAAATTTAAAATAATCATTTTTCAATTTGAAAAGTTTCTTACCTATCTAAATAAACTGATAGAAAGAATGAGAAGAGACAACAACTGCTCGTATGTTTACACCATTGGCGCTGAAGTTTCCACAATTTGAGAATAAAAATTTAAAATTCAAATGGTACACAAATATCTATCGCAAACACCATTTTCTAGTGTCAAAGAAATCTATTATTATTGAAGGTTTCACTGTGAAAAACACACACCATTGGTATTGTTGAAATTTATTGAAAACGAGATTTTGGTCACTGTGACGTCAATGTCACATTGCATACACACATTATATGCATGGTTTGGTCATTGTGATGCCAATATTACACTGTTGGTAAAATACATATGTATGGTTAGGCCACTATGAGCATTATAATATAACATCAATTTCTACTGTATACACAAAATATATGCAAATTTGGCACAAAAAATATCATAGTATGATCCAGAGATTGATAAACTGTACGCATTAGAATGTGACATCAATTTATCATCACTGATAACATGTTGAAAAAAAAAACAAGAACAAAAAAGTGAGAATTACTTTAGAGGATATTGTTGTAATGTCATATTCATAATGATTTTAAATGCAACCTTCATGCAAAAATATTGAATTTATTACCAATCTATGGCTAATTTATAACTTAAATACCAATCTATCGCTGTTTTGAACTTATTTACCAAACTACGACTATTTTAAAAGCGAAAATAACAATTTCGATTTATTTTAAAATTGGAATTAGCAAATCCAACTTTATGCAGTAAAGCGGAATCAAGACATACACTTTTACTATTAAGGCGTATTTTTCAAATATGCTTGTGCTTGAATAATTGTATTGTTAAAATTGGTTTTTAAGATGGAACGTGTATTTGGTAAGTCCGCTTTATCAAATGAAGCGGATATAATGAATCCACTTTCATTTGAATAATCAACCTCCAACTAGGGCCCTCTTTCTGTTATTCCACGAGTTCCTATCATCTCTCCTTTCTTCTCTTTGTGGAAGCTCAGACCTTCCTCTCTCTTCTCTCTTCAACTTGTAACTGATTCCTCCTCTTTCTTCTATTATTGTGTATGATTTCGCCATCCCCTAAGCTCAACCCTTAAAATGTACACACCCTATTGAGCAAATCCAAGCTTAGCCCTAGCTTGTTCGAAGAAGACAATTGAGGTCCTCTGCAAGATTCAATTGTGAGATTCGATTGAGGTGTGAGATTCAGTTGTGAGATTCCTTTCTAAGCCCTAGATTAGTCAGTGTTTTGTCAAATGACGCAGTAGACTGGTACACACCCCTGGGCTAGGTCTGAAGCAAAGAGAAGACAGTGAGGGGTTCATGTGTTAACACAAAGCGTCTATTTAACTAGGTATGCTACATTGAGTCTCTAATTCAGAAAAAACCCATGTTTAGAAAAATTTCTCCATTGCCCAATCCCCATGAATGTTGAATTCAAAAATCCCCAAGTGTAACTGCCAAATTTCAATCCTTATTGCCCAATTACTGTGTGATTCCAAAACTGCTTGGAGTAGTTTGAATTGCATCTTGAATTTAGAAATTTACTGTATGAAGGTATAATTTTATTAAGAAATTTAATGTCAACTGCATCTATGCAATATACTGAATGTTGTTGAGTTCACCAATGTTGTTGTATGTTGAATTCACCCACTGCTGTTGTATTTTTTTCCTGCACTTTTGAGTAGTTATTGTCTTATACATTCTGTGTCATGTTCAAGTTTGGGGTTGGTAACCTGATTTCTTTGATATTATTGCATATTTCTAATCAATCTATTAGCAATTGTCTTATACATTCTGTGTCATGCTCAAGTTTAGGGTTGGTAACCTTAGCATTATTGTATTGATCTCTTGCTATTTTTATATAATTTTCAATAAAAATAAAGAGTGATCAAGAATGTATCTAATAACAAATTTATAATCCACTTGCCGCTGTTATAACAGAATTGGTATGACAGAAACTATGTTAGTGTATTTGGTGTAGATGCAGTTATTATAGGCTTGATGGTTATGTAGCTCCATTAGTTGTAGTGGTGACTACTTGCCTATTACGCCCCCTACAAACTGATGGTCCAACCAACAGTTTGGTCCTAAGCAAAATAAAATGTTGAGATGAGAAAGCCTTTGTAAACAGGATCACCGAAAAAGAGGATATAAGCAGTAGTAGACTTTTTGTCAACTGGATCGCCTAGCTAGTCTGCATTCAGGGGCGGTGGCATGCTCAAGGCTCTGGGGGAAGTTGCCCCCACTGACTTTTGGATGAAACTTACATATGTAGACTCAGAAAGATTATAACCAAGTTAAAATTAATACATTGTCCCCTTAATTTTTTAAAAATTATATAGTAATGNTTGTGCTTGAATAATTGTATTGTTAAAATTGGTTTTTAAGATGGAACGTGTATTTGGTAAGTCCGCTTTATCAAATGAAGCGGATATAATGAATCCACTTTCATTTGAATAATCAACCTCCAACTAGGGCCCTCTTTCTGTTATTCCACGAGTTCCTATCATCTCTCCTTTCTTCTCTTTGTGGAAGCTCAGACCTTCCTCTCTCTTCTCTCTTCAACTTGTAACTGATTCCTCCTCTTTCTTCTATTATTGTGTATGATTTCGCCATCCCCTAAGCTCAACCCTTAAAATGTACACACCCTATTGAGCAAATCCAAGCTTAGCCCTAGCTTGTTCGAAGAAGACAATTGAGGTCCTCTGCAAGATTCAATTGTGAGATTCGATTGAGGTGTGAGATTCAGTTGTGAGATTCCTTTCTAAGCCCTAGATTAGTCAGTGTTTTGTCAAATGACGCAGTAGACTGGTACACACCCCTGGGCTAGGTCTGAAGCAAAGAGAAGACAGTGAGGGGTTCATGTGTTAACACAAAGCGTCTATTTAACTAGGTATGCTACATTGAGTCTCTAATTCAGAAAAAACCCATGTTTAGAAAAATTTCTCCATTGCCCAATCCCCATGAATGTTGAATTCAAAAATCCCCAAGTGTAACTGCCAAATTTCAATCCTT